GCGGCTTTTTTGGCTTTCTGCCACGGCCCGCTATCCTCCACTGATAAGTGTGCTTAGTTCAGAACAATGTGGGATGACTGAACTCATGAGTTTTCTCAGGAAGCTCATGTGTAACAAAAGTGCACTGAAAAGACTCGTGTGGTAATGTTGAGACCGCCATCATGCTCCAGGGCAGACCTGGGGCGTTACAATTAGAAGAAAGCATTTTGGAAGTGTTTTCTTTACGAAGTAGCAGAACGATGTCCAAGATCGTGGCTGAACAGTAGAATATTGTGAATGTTGAGTGTCCGAGATGATGAAAGTCCGAATTTATTTAAAATAAACTTTTGGGAGAATGCCTTTGTGCCACATAATTGGAAACAAAGAACAATCTCGCTGAACTAGCAAGGTGCAGGTTAATTTTCAAATGAATCACAGGTTCTATGACCGTGTGTCAAATTAGGATTTGCTGTGTGTCCCGTTAATTCGTCAACTATGTTATTGAAGAGATTAGCTGGAAAGTATTTATCTAATTGATACTTTCTACATTAGACTTTCCGGTAATTTATAGCTTTGTAAGATGACTGAGTTGATAAATGACTATCCAAATAGTTTTAATTGTAATGAATTTCATTGCGTGATTACTAAATTGAGCGGTGGCCTATTTGTGTATTAGTTATTACAATAATCGAAAATGATTCAATTTTTCTTTCTCTTTTCAATGTTCTATGTATTTTGCAACAGCTGGACTTGGTTAATTGTTTCAGGGAACCATAGCCGTGGTCAATCATTTGTATAAAGTTACTTTGTTTCTTTGTAGTATTATGTGATATATATTTGTGATAATTTAGTTGTACAGTGCATGTGTTTGCACATTCAGATTGTTCAAGCATAGCAGGCTCTCTTTATAGACTAAGAGATTTGTTTTATCAACTGATTTAATCATTTATGTTTGCTAATAGTGATAGTGCAAAGTGCTCTGGACCGTTAATTTTGTCCTCCTTTTCAAGTGCTTAGTGTGTATTATATAAATGTGTTTTCAGGATTCACGCACTCTGCATTTGCTTTAGGATATGAGGCAGGGATTAATAAGAGTACCATCGACGGCAACCTTGTTCCTCCTGGAGCACTTGTTACATTTATTCAGAAAGGAATTCAGTATCTTGAACTAGAAGCAAACCTGAGTAATGTAAGAGTGCTGATCATCACTATTTCTGAATACATATATGATTCGTGTTTCAAAAAAAATGCACCGAAATATTGATCTCTAATTCTCCAGGATAATTTGGACACGGATGAAGATTTCCAGTTCCTGCATCCCCTTGATCTTATAACAAAAGATTTTGATGAACTTAGGAAGATAATAAAGGAGAAAAAAGGAAATATTCAGACTGATAAATCGAAGGGAAAGGAGAAAGAAAATATTGAAAATGGTCTGGAGCATGGCAAGGGATCTTCGGTGGGAAAGGACAAGGAACTTGGAAAAGGTAAGGATAATGAGAGACAACAGAGGGATAGAGAAAAAGAACGTAATAGAGATAAAATGGAGAAAGAAAAAGAGAGAGAAAAAGCAAAAGAAAAGGAAAAGATCTGTGAGGCTGCTGGCGGTGTAAATCATACTGGGGATGACATAAACAGCAGACTTGACGAGAATGGAACTGGTGAAGGTATGATATATTTCAGCTATATGGGTGCATCTACACTCCTTTACTTTGAAGAAGCAATAAAGAACCTGCTGATTGAAACTTCGATTCATGGGTGTCTTAATGTGCATGGTCTTGCTTTTTCTTTGTGTTTGTGGATGTTTGATAGGGCCCGAACCAATGGATATCTGCAGTGGTTTAGTTTCCTTGCCTTGTGAAATCCCAAACAGTGATGTAACTGTTTTGCAAGGCCACACTTCTGAGGTTGGTCCCATTGTCATATTTATTCATCTAGTATCCCCACTATTGAGGACATTTGCTTGAAAATTTTATTATTTGTCACCGATAACTTTATGATCTCCTTTATTCCCTGCGCAGGTCTTTGCTTGTGCATGGAACCCTACTGGTTCTCTTCTTGCTTCTGGGTTAGCATAAGCTAAAACTTTATTAATATTAAGACGATATTAATTTTTGACTTTTTACATATTAATTCTCATTATGTGTCCCCTTTGATGTCTACAGAATATTGTTAAATAATTATTCAGAATTATCTGAACCTTTTTTATGTGCTACATATTGTCTTCTGCTAGTTATTGGTGCCTGACAAGCTGATTGGGGTACAATTTTCTCATCCTTCTTTTAGAAGACCTCTGAGATCACAATAATTTTACTTTTATCTATTCCATGATCAGTGGGCGGTTGAAAGGTCAAACTGGCCAAATCTTATTTTAGAAGCAGTATCAAGCATTGGAATGTTTGCTGTTTCATCTGCATGAAAGATATATCATTAAACTAGTAAACCTTGTGCTGATAACTGAAAAACTATAGATTAAATGAAACATAAGGTTTAGTTTTTGAAACTCCAATAAATAACATACCCAGTGTATTCCCAACTGGTTGGGGTCTGGAACTGGAAGGTCAGTTGTACGCAGACCTTACCCTTGTAATTATACAAGGAGGCTGTTTCCGTAGCGACCTAAGGTGCATTGCGTCGTTTGATATATTTTTTTTTCTAGAAACTTCACCTAATAGAAGAAGCACTAGAATTTAATTGAGCCATTTTGATCTAGTCCATTATTAGCACTATACCAGGAGAATTGTCAACAATGACTCTTCCAGCTCCATTTGGACAATAGTTTTTGAAACTCCATGGCTGTTAAATCTAGAAGGGAAGCTCTGCAGTTGAAATAACATTTGTGTGTTAAATTTTTCTTACATGGTCAACCCTGTAACCTTGTTGAGAGGGCTGGAGTACTTTACCACGGTTCCTACATATTTTTCAATTTTGAGCATATATCTTACTCAAAGGCGCTCCTTCACATTCTCCCTGTCACATTTAGGTGGTGTTCTTCGTTTAGGTGGTATCATGGCAAGAAGTTTAAATGACAAGGTTTAATTTCGCCTACTCAGACGTTCTTTGGTTTGCTATTTAGGCATTCCCATGAACGTGGTCCGAAAACAACTTCACTGTTGGCTCGACACAATGCCATTTTAGAGACATATGTTGAAACACCAATATATTTCTTGATACAATGCCATTTTAGAGACATATGTTGAAACACCAATATATTTCTTGATTAGAATTCAGAATGATTTAATTAATTGAAGAGAACAATTTTTCTATGTGTTTTTGCATCTGACTCAATTTGGGTAAGCGCAGTTTGTCTTTTTCTGGTACTGTGCATTTCAGTCGTTCAGTTGGGTATCTATTAACGTCCTTATGTTCATCTGCAACTGGATGAATGTTTTATGAAAACATGATGGACTAGTATGGCTATCTAACACGTTTGCCAACTGATATTTAATTGACTGGATTTTTGTTCACCTTTACTCTATTGTACGCACCAAGCTTGTTGATTTGAGTGAATTCTGTATTTTAGGTCTGGAGATTCTACTGCTAGAATTTGGACTGTTGATGGACCATCTAGCTCTAATCTGGAAAATGGGCCTTCGTCTGTTGTACTTAAACATTGCAAGGGTAGAATAAATGAGAAAAGCAAAGATGTAACGACACTTGATTGGAATGTGAGTTTCTATTTAATCTTTCCTTCTTATTTTTGAAAACTATTTTTGCAACTTGAGTACGCTGTTGAATTGTTCAGTGTCCTCATTTGAGGGCTGGATGGTGCTAATTTGTCATCTACTACTTTCCTGCTCTTGTAACATAATTTTATGTAGGTTGATGGAACATTACTTGCTACTGGTTCTTATGATGGTCAAGCACGGATATGGAGTAGAGATGGTAAGTGTCGTTAAACATGGTTTGTTAAAATTTATACCACTTTAAAGCTTTGTATGCTTTGAATATTTGGATTTGGTGGACGAATTAAGGATTACTTTTTTTAGCTTTTAGATGAATTCTAGTCGAATTGCAAAACGCAAACGGGGAAAGAAAATTGATCCAACCGAGCGCCAAACGCATACTCAAATCGTGTTTCAGGCCTTCTCTCTCTTCATCGAGACGCATGTTTACGTGTGATAGCAAAAATGTGTTTGTTGTTTTGGAATTGCAGTCTCACCCCCTTGTTTTTATTACTTACATAGTTGGTATAATAATTTAAAAAAAAAAAGAAGGCAATTATTCCTCCAGAATCTGCTATGTATGAACGAGTGATAATTGTTCAGATTATACTGAACAAGTCATAAGTTTTTACCAATAAAAAAAAAAAACACTAAAAACCATGCAAATTTCATAGAAATTAGATGTATATATTATGCATATTAAAGGTCAATCTAGTGAAAATATTTGTAAAATTTTTCTTGAAAATTTGTACAAATACGTTAAAGTAATTTATCAACATTCTAGGTCATATATTCTAACAATCCCTTTAATTATATTTAAATTAAAATAAGAAAAATAGAATTTTGGCTTATTGAACAAATATGTTTTCCACTTTTATCAATCTATAATAAAGTATTATACATTGTTTTAAAATCAAATATAAAACAATATTGGGTCAAATTTTTGAAGTTATTAATATGTGGGTTATATTGAAAAAAAATAAAAGTTGATGCGAAAGAGGATATTCCGAAAATATTCTTTTGGGGTTTGATAATGAGGTTATCGGTTGGAGAAGAATTAGACTGACAGCTACTGCAAAATGGGTTTGAGAATGAGTTTTTCGGTTAGAGATGACCTTAGCCACTTCCCCCCAAATTCATCAACTAAACACTAATTTTATGTTTCTTCATGCTTTTCTATACTACTGCACACATTAATAAAAATCTTTCCTCATACACCTGCGCCTGTCCCTCTAATACATACCCCATAGTTATTTCTGCTTATGAAATTTAGTGAAACATAAGTTTGATTAATTTAGCATCACTCTGTCTGAAGTTTTAGGATTGTTGTTTCTGTTCATGCTGCAACCTCTTGTATCCTGCTATAATTAAACGGGTAAAAGCGCCCTGTTTTGTTTGCCTTTTTAGGGATCTTCTGCTATTGGAACACGTGATGAATTTTTTAAGGACATAATTTTTAGAATCCAGTTATTTTTTTATCGGTGGCCTGCGGGAGAGGGGTGCTGTATGGAATGTTGAGTAATCTGGAAGAGCTAAAAAATATGGGTGTATTGATAGTTCAAATATTTCTCCTGCTTACGTTTATAAAACATCGACAACTAGTATTAGTATGTAAGACATATATGGAGTTCATGATGGAAGCTCTGGGGATTTTACTGTCGAACTGTGAGATGGATATTCTGCATCATCAAGAGCTGAACTTGTTATATAGTTATTAAAGCCTTGTTCACTATCTCCTATGCATTGACTTTGAAGAGCAAATAGGCTTCTGCGGATTATGACGTTGACACTATTTATTATTTAACTTGCTTGATATTAAATTTTGGAGCTGGTTTGCACAAGAATCTTAGCGCATAACATGCTTTGGAGTTGTCGCTGTATATAATGTGGGTTGCTCGTGGTGAGATAATATAGTTTGGAAGAGGCTACTTTGTCTGTTATCTTAGAATCTGCCACTTTTTCTGTATGGTTGCCTGGCTTTGATGGAAATGAGTTTTGTTTAGACAACATTGGTTGTAGATATTGTAACGTTTTGGCGCAACCCTCGAGACTTGATGGTGGTCCCCACCGTACCAACACGAGACTATAGTGTGATGTGATTCCTAAGAAATTTCCCAGGAGGTCACCCATCCCATATTGCTCCAAAGTAAACACGCTTAATTTTGAGTTTCTATGGACTGGGTTCCGGAGAAGAAGATGCACTTTGTTGATATAGCTTCTACCAATCAAGTCTTTTAATGTTTTCCCATATTGTGGCGGGGGGAGTTATAATTACTTTGATAGAAGATTGTTTCAGATTGAAGTTAGAAAACCTTGTGATTGTATAAGAGAAAGCTTTAGTGGTAGTTGGAAAACAGAAAGTTTAGGCGATTAGGAAGTATACTCAGTTTGACTTGTAATTCTCCCTTTACTGAATGAGATAATTATACCAGAGCTAACATGATGGAAACTACTTGCGTTTGTAAAAGGGTATTTGTTAGTCCCTGCTCGTTCACTGCTCAGGTAAGCAAAAATGCTTCCGGCACAAACGAACACTTTTAGGATGAAAAAAGAAGATTGTGAACAACTCAATGTATTTAGTATTAAGTTTTTCTGTGTGTTTACAAAACAAAAACTGCACCCCTATTTATAAGAACTAAAAAACAACTATCTAGTGACTTTCCTAGAAATTACTTAAGTTGAAAAGTCCTAAAAATCATCCTAAAATGGTTGCTATGAAAGTGCTTTGCAGCTGCAAGGAAAGTGTAATGAAATTGCAAGGAAACAACAAGGAAACATCAGATTATATTTCTTACAATTCTTTTCCTAATCCTGCTGTTCTTGCTTGTTTCCCACCATTCCAATCTTGGTCCTTAGCTCCATGAACCGAAGACGGCCGAGTGGTTTGGTAAGGATGTCTGCGAGTTGCCGTCCGGATTCGACAAACTCCAAAACAATATGTCCTTCATCGATACAATCACGGATGAAGTGAAAACGGGTATCGATGTGCTTGCTCCGGTCATGGAGAACTGGATTTTTTGCAAGGGCAATGGCGGGCTGGTTGTCCACCATCAGAGCTGGTGGACGAGCTTCCTCGCCGGTCAGCTCTCCCAGCAACCGACGCAGCCAGACCGCCTGGCACGCCGCTGTGGCTGCCGCCACGTACTCCGCCTTGCACGTAGACAACGCCACAATCTTCTGTTTCAGCGACTGCCATGAGATTGGGGCCGATCCAAGGAAGACGAACACACCGGAGGTGCTCTTCCGCCCATCAATGTCGCCTGCCATGTCTGCATCGCTGAAAACCGTGAGCCGCAGCTCACTTCCGTCGCCGGTCTTGGGGAAAATGATGCCCTGATCCACCGTCCCCTTGACATAGCGCAACAGCCGTTTTACTGCAGCCCAATGATCCTCTCGAGGGTCCTCCATAAAACGACTGACATAGCCCACGGAGAATGCGATATCTGGCCTTATGTGGACTAGATAGCGCAGCCCGCCGACGATACTCCGGTAGAGTGTTGCATCCACCTTCCCCGCGGTGCTGGCTTTCGTCAGCTTCAGCCGCTCCTCCATCGGAGTCGCGCATGATTTGCAGTCAGCCATGCCGCTTCGCTCCAACAGCTTCCCCGCATATGCACGCTGGCAGATAATGATGGAGTCTCTCCCCTGCTTCACCTCGATGCCGAGGTAGTAGGAGAGCTGCCCGAGATCGCTCATGCGGAAACGAGCTGCCATCTCGCGCTTGAAGCTGTTGATGTCCCCTTCTTGTGCCCCGGTGATGATCAAGTCATCCACACACACGCCGACGACGAGCTCCTCCTTCCCCCGTCGTCGCGTGTAAAGTGCGTGTTCTGTCGCGCAGCGCGTGAACCCAAGCGCACCCAGGGTGGCATCGAGTTTGGCTTTCCACGCTCGTGGGGCTTGACGCAGCCCATAGAGTGCCTTCCGCAGCCGCAACACCTTGTGCTCCTCTCCCTTGACGGCGAAGCCCGGCGCTTGCTTGACGAAGACAGTCTCCGCTAGCTCACCGTTGAGGAAGGCCGATTTCACGTCCAGGTGATGAATGCGCCAGTCCTTCGCTGCTGCCATGGCCAACAGTAGGCGAACTGACTCCATGCGCGCTACTGGTGCAAAAACTTCCTCAAAGTCGATGCCCTCACGCTGGACGAAACCGCGAGCAACGAGGCGCGCCTTATGCTTGACTATGGCGCCACTTTCGTCCCGCTTGACCTTGTAGACCCATTTGAGCCCGATTGGATGACAGCCTGGAGGTGGATCGACGAGCTCCCACGTCTCATTTTCCTCGATCGCCTTCATCTCCTCTAGCATAGCTCGTCTCCAACTGGCATCGCGCTCGGCCTGCGCGAAAGTCGATGGCTCCTCTGCGCTGACGAAGAGCAGCTCCTGATCGTCGAGTAATCGGCTTGCCAAGCCTGGTACAACCGAGTTGCCAACGAGGTTGTCCATCCTGCGAAACCTCACCTCCTCACCGTCGTGGAAAGCATCCACATACTCGTCGATGTTGCTTGGAGGAGAGGTGAACTCAAATGTCGTCGCTGGAGGTGTCCCCTGTCCTGCCGCAGCCGGGGACTGTGGTGGGGGCGTGTGCGCAGCTGCTGGTCGAGACTCTTCGCCCGTGCCCATGGCCGGACTTTGCGGCTCAACTGACGCAACCACAGTTGCTGGACTTGGCGCGTCCGCAGCTGGCTCCTCTGATCCCGCATCTCCTCCTTCGTGGATCACCAAATGCTCGATGACAAACGTACCGCCGACGCCACGGGCTTCCCCCGTGCCAGGATTCTCCCAATCCCAGGCCGCCATTTCATCGAACACCACATCCCGCGAGACCACCACCTTGCCTCCACGTGGATCGTAGAGCCGATAGGCCTTGCTCCCCTCCTCGTAGCCTAGGAGCACCATCGGTATGCTCCTATCCTCAAGCTTGGACAGGAAAGGCTTCGTCTTCTTCACATGGCCAATACACCCGAAGGTCCTCAGAAACGAGACGTCGGGCTGCTTGCCATGCCATGCTTCGAATGGTGTCATGCCCTTCAGGGCCTTCGTGGGCGCACGGTTGAGGATGAACACCGCCGTGCTCACGGCCTCTCCCCAGAACTCCGCTGGCATACCCTTTGCCTTCATCATACTTCGGGCCATGCCCACTACGGTCTGATTCCGCCGCTCCACTACGCCGTTCTGTTGCGGTGAGTACGGCGCAGTGTGATGGCGCACTACCCCATGGTTTGCACAATACGCGGCGAATTCCACCGATGTGAACTCGCCACCGCGATCCGTCCTCAGCACGCGCAGCCGCTTTCCGGACTCTGCCTCAGCCCGCGCCTGGAATTGCTTGATTGCCTCCGCAGCCTGATCCTTACTCGTCAGGAGCTGCAGCCACATGAAACGGCTACAGTCGTCCACGAGCAGCAGGAAGTAGCGTCGTCCGCCATGCGTAGCTGGCGTGATCGGCCCACAGAGGTCGCCGTGGACGAGATCGAGGACGTCCGCCGCACGATACTTGGCCGCCTTTGGAAAAGGCAGCCGCCTCTGCTTCCCTGCTAGGCAGCTATCGCACAGCTCGCCTACGTGCTCGATGTGCGGGAGCCCGCGCACCATCTTCCTCAGTCGACCGAGTGCGTCGAAGCTTAAATGGCCAAACCGAGCATGCCATAGCCATGGCTCCTCAATGTGCCGTACCGCCAAGCACACCGGTTGCTCCACTTTCAAGTCGAGGAGGTAGAGGCGGTTCCGGGAACGTTGGACCTTAGCCAGCAGCCGCTGTTCCTGGTCCTGGAGCTTTAGCACGCCGCCTTTGACAAGCACCTCGCAGCCGTGCTCGTCCAGTTGCCCGATGCTGATGATGCTTGAACGCAACTGCGGGATATAGTACACATCCGTCAATGCGCGGTGCTCGCCGTTCTGGCACCGGAAGATGACAGTGCCGCGACCTCGAATTTCCACCTTCGAGCCGTCGCCGAACTTCACTGTCCCCGTCACGCCGTCATCAAGCTCGGAGAAGGCCTCCTTGGAGCCGGTCATGTGGTTGCTAGCGCCAGAGTCCAGGTACCACCTCTGCTCCATGCCACCGCCCATTCGTCCAAGGTGGACTTGAGCACTCGACTCGTCGAGGTGAACTGCCTGCAGTGCCTTTCCCTGGTCCGCAGCCACTGCCTTGACTTTCTCTAATTCTTGCTCGACGTCGTGCGACGTGCCGAACTTCGCCATGAGAAGAGATGGCTCCTCATCGTCCACCTGCGCGAGGTGCGCCTCCTTTTTCTCCTTATTGAGAATCTTGCAATCTCGGGCCCAGTGCCCAGTCTTCCCGCAGCGTCGACAAGTATCTTTGTTGATCGGACGCGCGTTGTTGCCGTCCTTTTGCTGCGGGGCCTTGCCACGGCGCTTGCCGTAGCCGCCACGGCTAGAGGAGCCTTCCCCGGGTCGCCGCTCGCGCATACGAGCTGCCCATTCTTCCTCGGTCAGTAGTAACTTGCCGCTGGTAGATATCGTCGCCGTCTCCACGCGGTCATCCACTGCCCGCAAGCGACCAGTCACATCCTCAATCGTGAGGGTGGACATGCCGATCTGGGCATACTTAGGCGGCACGACGCGCAAGTATTTTGCGACCGCCTCCTCGTCGGTGATGGTGACGCCGTGTATCGCCAGCTGACTGACGAGCGACTGCAAACGGAGCGAGAAATCCTCCACTGCCTCACCGTCGCGGAATGCCAGCGCCTCGTACTCCCGCCGCAACTGTTGCGCCTTCGCCTTCTTTGCGCGATCAGACCCGATGCGCATGGCCTTGAGGGCGTCCCAAGCAGCCTTTGCGGAGTCCTTTGCGCCCAGCGACTCCACGTACTCGTGAGGCACAGCGGACAGAATCGCTTCCATCGCTGCGCAGTCCTCTTCTTCATCCTCGGTGCCTTCCTCGATGGCCGGCCAAAGCTTGCGCGCACGCAACTTGACCTTCATCAGCACCGCCCATTCGCCGTAGTTTGTGCGTGTGAGGACCGGCCAGTTGGCCCCGCCAACGTCCCGCACGGTCCTGTGGATGATGACCTCCTGGCGTGGTGAAGCGAATGCTCCGCTCCCTTGCACCATCGACGCAACATCTTGGCTTGCCATGGCTCTGATGCCACTTGTTAGTCCCTGCTCGTTCACTGCTCAGGTAAGCAAAAATGCTTCCGGCACAAACGAACACTTTTAGGATGAAAAAAGAAGATTGTGAACAACTCAATGTATTTAGTATTAAGTTTTTCTGTGTGTTTACAAAACAAAAACTGCACCCCTATTTATAAGAACTAAAAAACAACTATCTAGTGACTTTCCTAGAATTTACTTAAGTTGAAAAGTCCTAAAAATCATCCTAAAATGGCTGCTATGAAAGTGCTTTGCAGCTGCAAGGAAAGTGTAATGAAATTGCAAGGAAACAACAAGGAAACATCAGATTATATTTCTTACAGTATTTGTAGGGGTCAAATGCAAATACCCTTTTACAAACGCAAGTAGTTTCCATCATGTTAGCTCTGGTATAATTATCTCATTCAGTAAAGGGAGAATTACAAGGGTATTTGGGTCGCTATAGAAACAGCCTCCTTGTATAATTACAAGGGTAAGGTCTGCGTACAACTGACCCCCCAGACCCCAACCTCCAGACCCCAACCTGTTGGGAATATACTGGGTATGTTGATGTTGATGATGATGCATTTGACCCCTGAATTCTTTCTGGGTGTTGTTTCAACCTCTTACTCTATTGTCTCAGCTTCCCGTTTTGTAATATTATTTCTCACTTTTGTTTCCGTTTTCTGATCGTCTCACTGTCATTCCCATAGCCACGAATCACCAAAGGGTCCTTACCTGTAATCTATTGGAGCACAGATATGGAAAAAACTTGGTTTGGGCACAAATACTATGTGGATACTGATACGTGCACAAATTCACTTGTCTGATAAGCCAAATTCCTTATCCTTGACTTTATCCAGTTTTGACAATGTGGACATGGGTTGGATATGGGGTGGATGAGCTTCTGAATATCCTAGGGAGTTAAAATAGGAATATAGGACCTCCGACGGTCAATTATATCTCTCTCTCTTTCAACTCCGACCTTCTGGCAAATTTTATTCTTGGGTGCGTTTAACATCAAGCTATGACACTTCATCTTTATCTCCTGCTTGGCTAGCAACATTCACGCTTCATTCATCTCCTCTCCTGCAACTTTTAATTGACTCTACTTTGGCCTTTGAAAATTATTGAAATTGAGACTGCTAAAATGACGCTTAAAATTAGAGGGTGATAGTGGTATTTATTCAACAGCAAATTAGTTTCGAAGTGTTGCTTAGAAAATTAATTTTTTTGTAAAACTGAAAATGGTTGAACTTGACATGATAAAATATAGTTCAAGGGCACATGTCAATTTCCATCAGTTTGTGTATGACAATTTACTTGGCGTGTCATTTCCCAGACTTTTTTATTTTACTATTTTGCACATTTTTCATTTGATTTGTTAGATCAAAAGTGACATGGTGAGGTTCGTTTTACCCAGGTGAGCTGATTAGTACATTAAATAAACATAAAGGGCCAATATTCTCTTTAAAGTGGAACAAGAAAGGGGATTTCCTTCTTAGTGGAAGTGTGGATAAAACGGCAATCGTATGGGATGTTAAGACAGGAGAATGGAGACAACAGTTTGAATTTCATTCAGGTGCTTCTTAACTTAAAAAACATTTTTTCCTTCTAATCAAGCTTCTTTTGATGTTTGTCATTAATTATACCGACTACATGTTTTTGCTCATTGTATAACAGCTCCTGCCCTTGACGTCGATTGGCGAAACAATGCCTCATTTGCTACATGCTCTACCGACAGCATGATATATGTTTGTAAAGTTGGGGAGAATCGACCAATTAAAAGTTTCGCCGGGCATCAGGTTTGTTTCATTTGTTTATTCTATACCACGAGTTACCTTGGCAATTATTCTTCCAGTTCAAATGCGTGCAGAATTTTAGTGAGATTGAATAGTGTCATTTTTCCATGAGTCGTGGTCTCGTGGATAGTGGATGTCTGGATAGATTCAGATTCCATTTTTATGAATGAACATCACAGGTCACTCGATTAAGGCTTTTAAATGAGCAGGATCATGATCTGGTTTTTAAAACTTATGCTTGAATAATTATATCTATATGTTGCAGAAAAAATCGAAAGAGGAAATACGTACCATGTAAATGAGTAAATCAATTGCAAAAGAAATTTGAGGCCTATCTCATAATTATCCATCTCCATTTGTTCGTGATATTCTGAAACCTCTCCCAGTGATAGCTCAAATGTGAAGTTTAAAGCTTCATTTCTGAAAGTGTTCTTCTCTGTTATTATTGAATGGGTAATGACACTGATCATGTCTCTGTTGGAAGTCCAAGCAGTGATATTTTGCTAGATTTATTCTCTCCCGTTTTGGTTTGGTAAGATTCCGTTGGTAACTGGTAACATACTAACATTTGATAGTGGCCGTTTGGAAGATCTTTATTTGCATAAATGCCAACTCAGTTTGTTAACAAAATTGCTAGGGCGCATTTGTGTAAATTTACTGGTTAGAGGCATACATACAGCTTTCTATCCCATGCATTCAGTATATTATATGGTGTGTAATTGGTTATTCAGATGCACTGGATTTTTTCGTAGCACTAAAAACCATTTGTAAGTATGTTACAACTACTATGATTGTTAATATAACAATGTCTTACCACTTTTTGCTGTCCCGAGGTAGTGATTACGAGTGTATGTGGAATTCTGACAGCTGTTTGAGAAACATTTTGGGCTTGATACTGGTGTTAAAATATGATCATCTGGGCTGAATGACTTTTAATTTACATCATTTGTACCAACATTTGTACATATTTCAGGGTGAAGTTAATGCTATCAAGTGGGACCCCACCGGCGCCCTTCTAGCCTCGTGTTCTGATGATTCTACGGCAAAGGTCAGGGGCAGTTTTGGAATTCATGAAATTTTGCATTTAGTTTGTTTATCTTTTTTTTTTTTTTTTTTTT